TGTGTGTGTGTGTGTGTGAGAGAGAGAGAGAGAGAGAGAGAACAGCAAGTGCATGCAGGCATACAGTTCAAACCTACCACTGGCTCCATAGGAGACCAAACCTTGCAGTCTGCTCCCCTAAAAACCCGAGCCTAGGAAACCCTATGGGTTAGTTCAACTCTGTCTTCATGTGATTGGTATGAGTCGCAATGAAGTTGATGGAATACAGTGTATACCAGGAGGCTTGAACTAAAGTGACCAGATTTAAAGCGGGACACCATTGACCAGGGTGGGGGTGGGGGCTTGATTAAAAATTTGGTCTATATGGACCAAATAGACCGTTCCCTAGCTGGTCGTGCATTCTTTCCAAAAATCGGGACTTTTTTAAAACGCCAAAAAGCGGGCTGTCCCGCCAAAAGTGGGACGTCTGGTCACCTTACTTTAAACTGTTCATAGAAAACAATTAAACAATAATAATTCCGCATGAGCGTTTTGAAGTCCCCCCAGGTATCATTGTGAACCATCAAGTTCCTGGTGTTCTTTCAGCCCTACTCCCCACCCCCTTCCCTAGGGGCAGATTACTCAATAGGCAAAGTAAGCAGGGGGTTCCTTGCATTTACTCACTAATCAGTCCTGGATAGTTTCACGTGGGTGTGGTGAAACAAGTGATCCTGTTTACTGCAGATTAGGAAATCCACCCAAGGAACCCCATCTCTCGCTCGCTCACGGACTACTCCATCTCAAGCAGGGCTTGCAGGTGTGAAAGGAGGCTTTGATTCTGTAGGAAAGTGCTCTGGGAGGGACGAGAAGCGCCAGGCCTACGTGGAAGCAGGATCTTTGATGCGGTGAGTAAACTAAAAAATGTGAAATTGTTCAACCACTGCTTAGTAAGTAAGCACCAGTCAGTCCATGCTTATCTTGCTTTCTGGGTAACGCAACACTACCTTTTCCCTTCCAAACCTTCATCATAGGCCCAAATCCTGCAAGTGTGTGTGTGTGGGGTGGGGGGGGAAGGGGGCCTCCCAGCTGGCCCTTCCTTCGTCTGGGGCTTCTGGAACATAACCGCAGGCAGCAAAGGGTGTGTGAGTTAATTGTTAAATTCAGTTCAACAAGTTCCTCATTAGGGACAAATTACCTGAGTTTGAAATCTGCTAATTTTCCAATCAGAGTGAGTGTTTGCACTTGTGATTTGGAAATAATTACCATATGGTAAAAGCAAACCTATGTGAGGGTTAAAGTAAAGGGGAGGGAGGACAGGAGCCGACTGGGGCATCTTATCTAGAACCATGTTAGCATGTGCAGATGAGTCAGGGGCCTCTGAGCTTGGAGTGCGAAAGCTCACCTGTAGCATGGATTTGCAAAAACGGTTTCGCTTCCTGGGTTAAAGTCCCTGGAACAGCGTGGTCTTCGTCGCCCTAATTGGGCCTGGGAAACAGAGGAGCCTTTTGAACTCAGTGATTTCACCTAAAAATAAAGCAATACTTTAGCTTAAACTTCTCTTCAGTCCAAAGCTGCTACTTCGAAACCAACCAAACTCACAGTGTCGTCTCTGACTCACAGTGACCCTGCGGGACAGGGGACAGCTGCTCCTGTGGGTTTCCAAGACTATTCATCCTTTATGGGAGTTGAAAGCCCGATCTTGCTCCCACAGAGCAGCTGGTGGTTTCAAACTGCTGACCTAGCAGTTAGCAGCCCAGTGTGCCACCACCACACCACCAGAGCTCCCTAACCACGAGGGCAGCAGTTCGAAAGCACCAGCTGCTCCATGGGAGAAAGATCGGGCTTTCTACTTCGTTAAAGAGTTACAGCCTCCAAAACTTCACAAGGGCAGTTCTCACCTGTCCTAGAGGGTCACTGTGAGTCAGTGAACTTGTCATTGCTTTGAAGGAAACCCAGAGCAAACACCTGTGTGTGCATGTGCAGAGAAGAACAGCTTGTAGTTTCTAGTCAGTTCCATACATTGCCTCGAATCCCTTTAACAACCTTGCACGTTAGGAGTGACTATCCTTACTTACTCATGAAGAAACTGAATCCCAGATCCCACTCGCAGCCCTCGAGTCCATTTTGCCCCATAGCAACCCTAGAGAGCAGTGGTTCTCAACCTTCCTCATGCCGTGACCCTTTCGTACAGTTCCTCATGTGGTGGTGACCCCCCCCCCCAACCATAACATTATTTTTGTTGCTACTTCATCATTGTCATTTGTCATTGTGCTACTTTTTGAAAGGGTCGTTTGACACCCCCTAAAGGGGTTGCAACCCCGCAGGTTGAGAACTGCTACTATAGGGTTTCCAAGGCTGTAAAAACCTTTATGGGAGCAGATAGCCTCAATTTCACCCGCAAAGTTGCTGGTGGGTTTGAACCGCAAACCTTGTGATTAGCAGTCCGATACTTACTCAACAGCACCAGTAGGGCCCCTTGAGTTCCAGATAACATCCAATTCACTGCCCCGGAGTCCAGGACAGCTCACAGCAACCCCATAGAACAGGGTAGAACTGTCCCTGTGGGTTTCTGAGCCAATCGCTCTTTAAGGGAGTAGAAAAACCTTATCTTTCTGAGGCCCAGATACTAATCAAACCCCAAATCACTGCCATCCAGTCGATGCTGACTCCTAGGGACCCTGCAGGACAGGGTAGAACCGCCCCTGTGGGTTTCCAAGACTGTAACTCTTTATGGGAGTAGAAAGCCCCGTCTTTCTCCCAAGGAGCAGCTGGTGGTTTTGAACTGCAGTTAGCTTCCCCATGCCACCAGGGTTCCTGGGGCCCAGCTAGGTTTTGCTAAAGGAGTCCTTTTTTGAGACTCTCACGTTCATAGACCCCCTAAGCCACAAGGGGGCGCCAGACTCCAGGTTCACACACAACCGGAGTCCTTAAAGAACACTTGTCAAGCTTTCCCACGGATTCTCACCAGCAATGCAATGAGGTTCCAGGCTGGGCAGGCAGATCACGGGAGGCCAGGCTTCCCTTGCTGCACACCTCCCATTCTCCTGGAATCATTATGGGAGGACCTCCCCAACCGCTTGGCCTAGGAGGGCTAGGAGCATCAGCCACATTGATATTCGAGCCCCCTTTTAGGCTGCCTCCGAAACTGTGCTTTGTGTGTGGGTACGTGTACCTGACTTGTCTCGGAGTAAACCCAGAGGGTCGTTTCATTTTCTCTAAACTTGGCTTTTAACCCGACACCACCTGGTCCTTTTGTAAAGATTCCAGACAGGGAAACGCTGGGGGTGGGGAGCGAGCTACCCTGTCCTATGGCTTCACCATGACTCCGGGGCCCACGGGCTCCCTTTGTTTGATTACAAGGATACTTTAGACGTTGGGTTTGGAAGGGAGTGTTCAGGTTTCCCGTGAGAAGATGCTGCCTCCTCTGGAAACAGTCCTCCCCAGGAGCCCACGCTGTGACTCGATGGGGTGGGAGGCTCCATTCCGGGAGCTCTCCTGTTTGTTGGAAGCAACACTGTTGTGCTTGCCCTTGGGTTCCTCCTGCTCTGAGGCCTCCCTCCCTCCGGGGAGAAGCTCTCTGCTGCTGACTCCCTAGCCCTTCTCCAGATCCTGGCACGCATCATCTGGGTGGCTTTCACTGCGGAAGTGCCTCTATTTCCCCACTCTGAAGGCTGTCCGACAGGACGTGCGATCGCCATAGACAGCCTGCTCCCATTTTCTCTTTCTCTTAAGGAGACTTGTACCTCGAGGGCAGGGAGTTTGTCTTTTTGAGACGCTCACGTTCATAGATCCCTAAGCCACAAGGGGGCGCCAGACTCCAGGTTCACACACAACCCTCACCCTCACAGAACACCTGTCAAGCTTTCCCACGAATTCTCACTAGCAATGCAAGGAGGTTCCAGGCTGGGCGGCTCAACCAGCATGCAGGCAGATAATGGGAGGCCAGGCTTCTCTCGCTGCACACCTCCCACTCTCCTGGAATCATTGTGGGGGGCCTCCCGAACCCCTTGGCCTAGGAGGGCCCGGAGCATCACTAGGCCTTCTCTTTCCTCCCTCCCCTCCCCACTTCAGCTCCAAGGTAGACAACCTCTCACTAGAGACACTGCCTCCCCACTCACCCCTCAGGTTCTTACCAAGCCCGGCAAAGGGTTGGTGATTGAAAGGAATAGTCAGAGTCCTTACAGGCCGAGTGCAGTCCTAAGAGAGTGACACGTCTGCTGGTTGATTGGAGTCCTTCTTTAGGACGTGGGCCTTTGGGATGCTTGTTTCCTTCTTCAGCAACTCTGCGACAACAAACAAAGTCCTATTGTAAGTGTTGGACAGTGCGTGTGTGCGCATGCACAGCCTTTCCCCATCCTTGACTATTTAAGAATTCAGAAGTTCCCCCTCCCAATTTCCAGTGGGAAAGGGCAAAAGGAAAAGAGATGAAAGCAAAGGCCGGTGGGCCAGATTTTCTTTTTAAAACTTTTATTGTGAATTAGGAGGCAGTGTGTGTGTGACTTATCAGATCATCCTGCTCTCATTCAACAAGTTAAATAACTTATCCAGTCTTCCAGTGGTTTACCCTGATCCCCACTTCCAGCCCCCCCCCCCCGCCCCCCCCGCCGCCTACCCATCTCCCTCTTGTAGGATATGATATTACCCTTTCACCCAAGTGAACACCTGTCTACCCTTCCCAAAATGGAGGATACCACCCCCTGAGAGTTCTGGAAAGATCCATGATCTTAAGAAGTGTTGTTTGGGCTTTGGGTCTTCTTCGTACGCTGAGAAATCAGAATTTGTTTTGAAATTGCCTTTTGGTGTTGTTTGGGTAGTGGGATGTTATGAAGGGCTTGCAGCTATTGATAGCAACCAGGTCCAGGGGAACACCTTCAGAGTGGCTGCCTGTGGTAAGTGGAGGACATAGATGTTAGAGGAGAGGAGGCCACAGACCTGAGAGGCCAGACTATGAGAAGAATGATGTATGTGGGTACTGACATTACTGAGAAGTCTTACTGCTGTAATGATGGAAAGTGTGACAATTGATCAGGCCCTACCATCTCCAAGGGATGATGGGAGGTTCACTTCCCACAGCGTGAAAGAAGAATGGTTTGGTTTTAAGAGGTTAGCTTAGTCGAGATGACTCTTAATATTGGTTGTAGGAGTTTTAGTGCCATTTTTAAATTCTTGAGAACATACTTACATGCAAAGTCTTTTACGAGGTATTTGGAAGACGAGTAAGGCACGTTCTCTGCCCTGAGTAGCCTCAAAGCCTACTCAGAGAGAGAAGGGCACTGTACGAATGATCGGGCACCAAGGAGAGTATGGCAAATGCCATTAAAGAGAAGTCTTGATGGGTGGAATTGGGAAAGGGCTTATAAAGGGTTTGACTTTTGATTGGTTGAACTAGGTGTGGGAAGAGGCCGTTCAAGCAGAGAAACAGTACACGCATTGAACAGTGGAGGATAATGAGGGCAGAAGAGAAATGATGGTGTAGATGCTGCAGGAAAGTGAAAGCTGTAGCCCCATATCATGAACCTTCTCGGTAATTTCAAGTGAGACAAAGACCCCACTGTTTGAATAAGGAATCCGACAGTCAGGGGCTTGAAACACCTTCGTACCTGAAAGCAAAGACAGAAACTCCAGCAGATATGACAAAATAATAATTTATAAATTATCAGGCATTCATGAGGGAGGGAGGGAGGGGGGGAAATGAGGAACTGATATCAAGTAGAAAGCAAATGTCTTGAGAAAGATGATGGCAATAAATGTGCAAATGTGCTGGACACAGTGGATGGATGTATGGATTGTGATAAGAGTTGTACAAGCCCCCAATAAAATGACTTTAAAAGAAAGAAAGAAACTCCAAAGCTCTTTTTCCATTTAAGGAAATCTCACAGCAATTTTTGTCACCTACAGAAAACAGAACTGACCATTGATGATTATTTTCAGAGCAACACATTAATTATATTAAATACTACAATCCATCAGAGTTGCAGGTCTTTAAATATTATAGATTCCACTTTACCAGACATAACAACAAACTCTAGATTCAGGGATCTCGAGAAATCATTTTTTTGTTGTTGTTTTTCCACAACCCACTTTGGTGCGCAGTGACTGGGATCTTCAAAGCTTGCGAGTGGCCATCTAAGGGGACAATATCGGTCTCTCCCTGGCCAGGGGAAAGGAGAGTGATGAGAAATGATTAAAGATAGGTGGAAACAGTCCATTGGAGCAATGGACCACACAGACAGCAGGCTCCACAGCCGGAGAACAGAAAGTCTAGACGGTGTGTTCCGCTATCACGACCCCGCTCTGGCGGGGATCACTGAGAAGGTCCCTGCGTAGAGTGAGAGAAAAATGTGGAACAAAACTCAAAATAAGAAATAAGGCAAGGCTTACCGGTCAGCTCGAGACGAGTGGGAGCCCCAAGACTATGGTCCTTAGGTCTGGAACGGAACTCACGTCCCTGGTAGAATAATGAACTTGTTAAGACCGTAAGGGCAGCCATTTGCCCAAGAGAGGGAGGAGTTAGGGCAGGAAATACAGGCAGGTTGAGGGATAGCCAATGGTGTGTGGAGAGGATTGAAACGACGGATGGGTTGAAAGAAAACGTGTATGCATCATTGAATACAATACTGACGATCTCCTCTTCCAACCTTCACCTAATTCACAATAAAAAGTTTCTTTTTAAGGAGAAATGCATTTGTTTTGCTTTGCAAATAACACTTCAAGGACAGTTTTTT